TCAGCATCTCAGTCTTCTAAAGAGAACAGTCCTGCTATGGAGTTTACTAGTGTGGTCCCAGTTCAGATCTTGGTAAATGAATTTAGGATCAATATTGGTGCTGGATGATGCCTTAGTGTTACTGTATTTTTATTTTTTTTGTATGGCTTTGCCACTTCTTTTGAAATTCTGTATGACAACTTCTGGTATCTTAAGTATTTGAAAAATTTCCTGATTTGGGAAGGGAGACTCAATTGCACAACTCAGTTTGAACTCATTACATTTTAAAAGTAAGGTGAGTACATTTTACTCTCATGTGGATGTCTTTCTGGATTTTTGATAATATAAAATGGACCATAAGAGGGGGGAAACTAACTTATTTTGTTAGAAGCTGTGGAAAGGAGCTTTAATATAAATGGGAATGTGATCCAGTGATTGTATTATAGTTACATAAAAGATGACCTTTAACTGTGTTTACTTTTTATGGCAATCCAGTTCATGGATTATACATGATTTAGAATTAATTGTTTTAAGGTATTTGAAATGTAATTTCTTTTGTTCTAAATTAGTAGAATAATTGGAAAGAGAATGTTTTTTGACAGAGGACTACCTGAAGTGGCTAAGTAAATTCAAAGAAGCCACAAAACCTTACCAACAATGAAACACCTGAGCCTTAAGGTGTTTGATAGACATAATAAAGGATATATATATGTGCAACATTATAAATAAATGCAGAAAAAGGTATGATTTTCAACTCATGACTGGCTGAAGATAACTTCTGATATGGTGACTTATTAGGAAGTTCATGCAGAGCTGTGAAAACTCAGGTTATAGTTTCATGAACGCTTTAAGTAGGTTAGTTGCTGAAAAGTACAACCCTAACCTCTGCTGTTGCCTATCTATTCCCAAACTTGGCTCTCTTTATTTGTAGCAACCAAAAAAAAAAAATAATTTATGCAGCCATGAAATGAATCATGTTGGTTATCTATCTAATGGAGTTAACCCCAAACTTTTTTCCTTAGGCCTGGACTTTTCTTCTAACTGAATCAGTTTGTGCAGTTGTGCCATGAATCAGAGCAGGAGATGCTTTCTCCACTGCAAAAAGTAGTGGAGCCCTTCTCTGTGTAATGACTGGTGTTAAAAGCCCGAGGTGCGTGACAGATTATGTTCCATCTTTTGGCAGAAGTGCTAGTTTGTCCAGTCAGAGTCTGAGCTTATAGTCTGAGGGCTTGAAGTGTGCTAACAAATGCTGTTGATTCAAGTATGTTTGTCCCCTCTGATTATGGTTGAGCTCGGGCTCATAGGCAGTCTATTTCTATTGGCGAACGCATGTCTCTTATTAGTGAGATTTCTATTTTAATTGTGATGCTGTGCTTAATATTGTGCACCACATGTCCCTTGTTTCACAAATCCTACTTTGCTATACAATAGTTATTCCATACAGATGTTCTTACCTGTGCAGGTCCCATCTTAAATTGGGCAGAGGATTAAATAATCAGGGTATTGTAAGCTGACTTGCTAGTGGAAAGAACACTGGTCAGAGTTCTGGGTATATCTTAAGTGTAGAAAAGGTGTGTGCATGTATACGCACCTACCGACAAGTCTTGAAAGAGAAATGATCAAAAAGGGTGTGAGACAGTGACTTTGTTAAGACTTGGCCGATACCCAAGTCCCCCTAGGCAAATCTGTCTCAAGAATTGACTGAAAAAAGGAGCAAGCTTTTCTTGTTAAAGAGCTCTAAGAGAGCAAAACTGCTGCCACATAATGTAAGTGTTTATTAATTTCTAATCTCAGATGGAACTTTGAAGCCTATGTATTGTCGAATCGCCTGCTATAGTGTATGCTCATTTCCATATTGCCAACTAAGGTGATTAAAAACCTGAGCTTCACGGCTGTAACTTAAGATCCTGTTCTGTTTTGTTTCTTGCCATAGTGGTTTTGCTTAATTCTTAATTTAAAAGCTTCCTTTCTTATCTAATGCCTTATAATATGGTTCTCCCAGGAGAAAAAAAAATAAAGAAACAACAGTTTAGTCAAACTTGTAGATGTTTCTGATTTCTATTGACATACTGAGATTCTTTACTACTCTGCACACCCTAATAGCTTTGTTATGCACTGGGGAACAGGGTGTATGAACCTTGTTAGCTGCTGTGAAGTTGTCTTTAACATTACTATCATGCTTAACAGTGAAAGTGAAGCTTACTTATTAGACTAAAAAGTACAGCTTAAGAAACCAGCTAATATAGAGATGGGTATGGAAAACAAATCAGTGTACTATGTTGCTGCTCTTGCTCTACTTTGACTCTAAGTTCTGTTCAGCCAGCAGGTTCCTGTTTCATTGTATCCTAGGACATTCTTGTAGATCTTAAACTTTGCTACTCCCAGTTTTGTTTAATCTCCCTGCTTCTCACTAGAATGCTTATTGAGTGTTAAGTCATAATCCAAATTCCTGCAACTTTTTGGTATCAACTTGTGTCATCTTTATCCTCTTGAGTCTGTTGTGGAAAGTTGGCTTTGAAACCTCCCTCTTTGCTGAGTGGACTCTTCCTGCTTAATACTTGTGGGTGGAAAAGGATTTTACCCAGTGTGACTATAAAATAGTATCTGCACTGACTGCAAGTAGTTTGTCTGTTGTGAATGAAATACTTCATACTCACTGGCAAAAGTCTGCTCTGCCATGTAAATTATCTTTTGTAACATACTGAGCTTGAGGTTTAGTTTCATAAATCTGAAAGCAATGAATCTTATATTGACACAGGCTAGACATGATGGCAAACACATTTAGAGATGATTATATTTGGAATAGATCATCTATTATTTTCTGCTAGCGTGGTGATACATTCGGAATGTAAGTTTCTTCCCCAATAATGGCTGCTGTGAGGATTTCTTTATAGTACTTACCTGGGTGTGTTTACATGGAAATGTAAGGTAATACTAGGCTTACGTGAGTTGGTTCACCAGAGGCAATATTACTGTGATACTGAGTTCCTACTACATTTAATGGGTACTGTTGAAGTTGTAGACATCTTCTCTGTCACTTGTTCAGGCTTTTTTTCCAGTTAGAATTAAATTTTTAAACTGAAATTAGTTGGAGATAGTTGTGCTAATATCAGACTGAGCTGGTGAAAATACCAGTGTGTATTTGATAGTCTAAAAACCTGTCCTCAGGTTTGCACAGTAAAAAGAGGTAATTGGCCTGAGGCTTTCATACTACACCCGCTTCCTTACAGCACTTGCATCCTTGTTTGTTTTAAACCACCCCCTCATAAATTACATGCCTAGCATACAGGACTAGGAAACTATCAGTTTTCAGCTTTGTAACGTATTTTAGTACCTGGAAAAGGAGAACAGCTAGGATCCTCTGACCTACCAGCTCTCTGCAGTCCATTATATGCACTGTGAGTGGTATTGCTGTACAACATTTACCTCTGGACAAGGTCCTGAATTATCCTGGTCTGCCCTTGTGGTTCGGACTAGATGACTTCTGCAGGTTCCTTTCAACCTTAGTTGTTCTGACTAATACTGGCTAATAAATCTGTCATTATCATGTGATTTGGGAGTATGGTAAGTGTGGACTCAGCGCTCCAAATTGATACTTTTGAGCCTGACTTTAGCTTGTTTTCTTGAGGACTTTTGTCATTAGCCCTGAGACTTCAGCAATAACAATTACTGACATTTCTGTAACCTTCGGTTACTGAACGATGTGCTCTGTCATCGGCCAAATGTCATTTCAGAGCAGTAGCAGAAATGAGGTTATATGAAAGGCACAGGCAGGGCAAATTAGCTCCATAATTTAGCTTTGCTTTACTGAGATTAAGTGTAATAAGCCCATGGGGTTTAATTTTGGACACTAGTCCTAAATAATGTATTTGAACTAATATTTACAACTATTTATAGAGAATAGCAAGTATGCAATAGAGCAAGGGCAAATCTGAAACAGATGAGTACACTGTGTTTATGTAACTCTCTAACTCCTTATGTTACGAGGGAAAAAAGCAGCCGATGATTGCATATTGTTATTGAAAGAAACAAAAATATACAGGAATTAATTATTCCTCTGCATAGCTTCTAGTTGGCTTACTGGAGCTCTATAGAGGTTATAGATTGATGTCTAATATACCTGTACTAAGGATTGATAAATACCTGAATTTATACTAATTATCAGTTACTTAGACCTTTACTTACTCTGCTTGGCTGGTATGAAGTTTACTCTTGTATCAACAGTAGGGGTAGTGTTTGTATGGGCTTATTACTTCTGTGTGCTTTAAAATTATCTTTCTATTCTGATGGCTTTGGGGTAAAGACTCCAAAGTCAGCAGGATTTTCCTAGAAGGTGGTGAGAATCATCTCAAATCCACTCTTCCCTTAGCTGTTTTTATTTGCTTCCTAATGTGATTAAGATGCAAACAAAGAAATTGCTAATGAGCATGGAAAACCAGGGTACGTTCTGTCCTGAAACTGTAGGAAAAAATAGCTTTATTCTTTGTAATAGTGATGTGTCTTAGTTGTACTTTTTTTTTGATGATTCTGTGTCCATACTGCTTTCCAACAGGGGCTTTTTTTTTCCTTTGAATTGATACCTCATATAATTTTTCAGTTACTTTCATTTTCTTCTTACCCAGTTCATTACACTTTCTCTCTAAGCTGACTGCAAGCTCAGAAGCACCAGCCTGCCTTCCCAGTAACAAACATGACTCTCTTAAACCCAAATACAACACAGTATTTTCTTTTAGGGCAAGTGACACTTAGTAATGCCTTGCTTCTGGTTGTGCCTAGCAGCTTGTGCTGATACAATTAGGTCTTTTCTGTGCTAATAAATGAAACTGAAGCAAAGTCTGTACTTGAACCTTGGTGAAACTATAGTCTTAGTGCCCTGTTTCAGAGGTCAATTGCCCTAAAATAGTGTGAAATAGACTTTCTACATAGTAAACCCCCAAACTAAGAATTTCTGGGTTAACTTGTGTATGTGATATTTTTGAAAGCGTAGTGTAACTGTGTCTCTCTTCTCTGTGCTACTAGGGATGAGGGGAGACTCATACTTCTTTGGAATGCGAGGCCTCGGTCACTATGGCTGCATCTCGGAGGATGGAGGACAGTTCTTACTCTACTGTATAAATGGAGACAACAGTTTAAAGAGGTGTTTCGCAGAGGAAGATTTTAATGAAATAATTGACTTCAATGATCTCCCGAATTCTCTCTTTGCTTGTAATGTTCACCAGTCTGTGTTTGAAGATGAGGACAGTAAGGTACAGTGTCAGTTTCTGTGTTTTCGATGTAAGAGAAACATATGCCTTATGTTTGTGTTCATTGCAATTTCAGTGAAACAGTTTGATCTGTCTTGTACAAAGAAACTGGATCGCAAATATGACTTCTTTCTAAGGTGACAACAGCATTCTGCCATGATGTTTATTTCAAGAGCTTTAAAAGCCTTTTTGTCACCTACAGTGAACAAAAATGGTTTTTTGTTCAGACTTGCAGAATACTGAAATGTGGGTAACATGTCTTCATAGCAACCATAATTGCAGTCATGATGGAGATGGCAAAGTTAAACATGTGAAAGTTTCTCCTACTTGTGGATCATGTACTACTGTGATGGGAGGCTACCTTTCTTGTGTTTTCTCATAGAATCATTTAGGTTGGAAAAGACCTTTAAGATTGAGTCCAGCCATTAACCTAACACTGCCAAGCCTGCCACTAAACCCTGTCCCTAAGTACCACATCTACAAGTCTTTTAAATACCTGCAGGGATGGGGACTCCACCACTTCCCTGGGCAGCCTGTTCCAGTGCTTGATAACAACTTCGATGAAGAAATTTTACCTAATATCCAATCTAAACCTCCCCTGGTGCAACTTAGGACAAGAGGAAATGGCCTCATCACTTCTTACTTGGGAGAAGAGGCCAACCCCCACCTTGCTACAACCTCCTTTCAGGGAGTTGTACAGAGCAGTAAGGTCTCAAATGTTTTAAGTTATCTGAAATACTATTTTATCTGTCAAATCTAAAATGAATGATAATGAGAACAAAGACAAGAGGAACTGTGTAAGAATATTTTTTTTTTGTTGCAATTAGTCTAAAACATAATGTTGAAAACAATATCCTCTTAAACTAAAAAAATTAAATTCAGCTTTTGCAGGAAATGTTCAGTTCCTGTTTCTTAGCCTAGTAATCTTCCTGATGGAGATGTCAGGAATATAAAACCGATAGCTCAGGGCTTTATTGTCTGATGAAATTAGTCTAGGCAAATTGTTATAGGCACACCTGAGGCTGCTTGGGTCTCTTGTCCAGAATTTTCAATTCAGAAACAAGCTGGCAGTGGTAAAGTGGGTTTTGGCTGGAACTGGCTGATGAGGGATCCAGATAAAACTAAGGATTAACTGAGACCAAAGCTGGCCAGGATGGACAGAAGTTCTTTAGTGGAGAAATTACCAGATGAAAAGGAAATAAAAGAAGACTTCTAAGGATATAGGCTTCCAGTTCAAGGTACTGAAAGTGGTATCTATTGAGGCTGTAGAAGTGGAATTGTTTGAGTTTAATTTTTTTAGACATCTCTTTCTTTCATACTCATGTCTTGTATATGTTGAAGTAATACAGATTAAAAGAAAAGTTCACACCACAGCACTAAACAAAATGGTCATATTTTTATGTATGTATATGAATAAAAAATTCGACACTTTAAACTGCAGTCTTGGAAAACAGTGCACCATTTTATTGTATTTAAGTCCTTTTGCTAATAAGTATCTTGCATTTACATTATGCTGTTTTGTGGAATTTTATAACCATCTGATAATGAACTTCACTAATGTTGAAGGGGTCTGAAAGTCCAGTTTTAAAGGAAGAAAATAGGAGCCTGCCTAGAACTAGAGAATCTCTTCATCCTGCAGAGATTCTATCCCCACTTGCTCCTGGGCTTTCCCTTTTGAGAGCTGTGTTCTAGTATTTAGCTGATGGCTTAGTTAGAAAGTGGAATGGGTGATTATGTAAGGATGTGGGATAGAAATCTCCAAAGCCTGCAGGACTTAAGGATGTGTCTTAAGAATAGCAGCTGGGTTGTGGAGGTAAATATTCTGTTACGTGTGCAGGTCTGTAAACTAGCTGTCAATGACATGAGTTGAACAGCTCTGTTTGCAGGTAAGTAGTGACTCCCATAAGTCTATATTTAACTAGATGGGATTACCTTCAGATTTCTCATTAAATCCAAGGACCTGGGGAGCTGATTATGACTTATTATTCCTGTAGAACATGTACTTGTGTTCCCATTTGATTAATACCCGTAATCCTTTCTATTATTAACTGTTGCTGCAGGATACAAGCACACATGAATTCAATACAAAATATTGTCAAGTTACTAAGCTAAAGTTTAAAATCTTACACAATCACAATTAAAAAATGCTGCTAACAATCATATCTTCAATTATATGTTGATCCAATGTATATGTAGTAATACAGTAAACTACTTAACATACTACAGTAATGGTTATGTCTACAGTAGTTTCATTCTGTTATCCATTCTATGCAAAGTAAAGTTTCTGCAATGTATCTTTGACTTTTACTCCTGACCTACACTTTTCAGAGGAAAATGGAGGTATGATTGGCTTGGAAGCTACAAGTTAGCTAGTAAAAGTCAGAGAAACCTGTCATTGTAAATGGTTGTTCTGATTTGGTGTGTGAACTTGCTGCATAAATGTTATTTAAATATATAAACTTCTGAGTGGTTCTGGCATGCAACAGTATTAATGTAAAGAATTCATGCTGATAGCTTTAAAGTTACATTATCTGAAATGTCTAAGAGGCTGAACCATCAAATTCAAACTTTTAACACAAATATCTAAGCAATATACTCACTAAAGACAGGCTTTAAAAGCAAATACCTTAAGTATTTTTGTTTTAATTTGAAGGCATGTAACCACTTTGTATCAGATGTAAGGTAAATTCCCGTTTGTGCTTGAGCAGGGGCCTGCAGCAACTCTGGGGGAATGCTTAGCTGGACTCTTAGCTGTGCATAAACCCTCACTGCAGATAAGCTGATTCACTTTATCTGTTTTTACTGCACCCCGTATCAGATACACCCTTTCACCAATGTCATGTGGCTGTACAGCACTTCTTAGGAAGGATTCTGCATTGCCTGCTAAGAGTGATAATGGCATCCATAGGCATTGGAACAGGCTCCCCAGGGAGGGGTGGAGTCATCGTCCCTGGAGGTGTTCAAAAAACGTTTAGATGTGGTACTTCAAGACATGGTTTAGTGGACATGGTGGCATCAGGTATACGGTTGGACTTGATGATCTTTGAGGTCTCTTCCAACCATAATGATTCTATGATCTGTAGGGAGCCTGAGCTTGGACCTTAATTTTCTGAAGATGACGAATTCTTGCAGCTTAAGGCCATGTCCTTTACAGACAAAGAAACTATATCAGGCCAGGCTTGAGTTTTTTCTCCTGGCTGGCACCTTCAGGTCTCGATGCAGACTGAGTGAGTCTGAAGAGTTGTGGGCCCTGGGATCTGAAGATGAGTGTTGCCATCAGGCTTGAAGGAAGCTGCTCAGGAGTGACTGCCTGATCTTAAATGCTGGCAGAAGAAAGGTGGAGTATAGGTTAGTACTAGCTACATGTATCTGATTTTGCTACAGTACCAGATCAGCTGGTCAAAAAACATTTCCCTACCTTTCAGACCTGTGTTCTTAGAAAGCAATCTCTTCTTAGGTCAGGAGAATGCCTCTGGTAGCTGGGTTGATAATATAGGCATTTGCACAGGATGGCTTAGCAATGCACGAACAGCTTGCTACAACTGAAGGGAGGTAGTTTTGCTTATCTCCACTCCCATCATGGACAGCCTACTCATTTGAACAGAAAATGAAATTGTACCTTCTTTACAATGTGACTAGAAAATACTCAGCTTTTTAGTTTTAGAAGAGCAAAGGTGTGGAGAAGTAGATTATCTAACAGGCCTGTTGCGAAGTTGGGATCAAATTCAACTATGTCCCCGTCACTGTCCTGTGTTCTGATTGTTTGTTTTGGCATATAACCTGTTAATGTTAGGGGCACATTTTTTTTTGAAGCATACAGCACTGACTTGGTTGGGTTGTGGAAGTCTTATTGCAAAGAAGCTAAAAATAAAATTATTCCTAAAGCCTGGGATTTGCCATGTGTCTCCTGGAAAAACTGATGGGGCTACTTATGTGAGCAAGATATGGCAAAATTGAGACTGTTATTTTTGGCTGATAGTGTGACTGAATGAGAGGTGCTGCTTCTTTTATCTTTCCTGATAAAGCAATTGCAGTGGCAAGCCAAAGGGCGTGACTCTGATTATTCCTAAGAGTGGATATGTGTGTGTTTTAACTGTTAATTACTACACGTAGCCCTGAGGCTTTCCGGATAGTAACCCTTTTGTTGTGCTTTTGTTATTAATATATCACTGTTTTGTAAAACCATCCTTTCTGTAACATGACTGTGTAATTTCCTTGAGGCTGAAACTGGTAAGCACACTGTCAAAGTGAAGCATCTTTGTCTCTTAAGATGGTCTCTTCAGATGCTGTAGTGCCTCAGGAGGTGCTTAGACAGAACTGTCATCATTAGAATATGCTTACGTGAGGGAAGGATGTGTTTCCTCAAGCTGTTTAGAGGCTGTACGCTCTTCTTTTTCCACTATTTTGACTCAAATTGGAAGGAGCCCCTGTTAGACTTGATAGTTGTATTTCAGATACAACTGTATGTATTTCAGATACAACAATGATCAATCAGTATCTGAGCATTTTAGTTGTGGTGGAGCTGCCCAGGAAATGATAGCCAAAGTCCATTAAGTGCTTTTTCTTGCCAGTGTAATTCAAACCAATAGGAGATATTACTATTTCTGCATGAGAAAATACAGTGACCAAACATGTCCAGTTCTGGACTTCTCAGTACAAGGAAAATATGGACATAACGGAGAGAGTCCACTGAAGGGCTGCAAAGATGATGAAGGGAATGGAGCATCTCTCCTATGAAGAAAGGCTGAGAGCTGACACTGTTCAGCCTGGAGAAGAGAAGGCTCAGGGGGATCTTGTCAGTGTGTACAAACACCTGGAGGAAGGGTGCAAACAGGATGGAGCCAGGTTCTTTTTCAGTGGTGCCCAGCGCCAGGACCAGAGGCCGTGGGTACAAACTGAAACACAGGAGGTGCTCTCTGAACATCAGGAAATGTTTTCTTACTGTGAGAGTGATGGAGCACTGGCACAGGTTGCCCAGGGAGGTGGTGCAGTTTCCCTCCATG